GACCTTAGAGGCGCCTTCCTTGATGAGTTTGAAAAGCTTCTTCTCATAAAGTGAACGTGTTGTTCCTGTTACGGGTCCGACACTAACATTATATTTGATGAGTTCATCACGTAGCTCGGAATCCGATAGTGAAGCGATGTCTTTCATCTGAAAAGCAGAAGAATTAAGAGACGAAGAAAACTACGAAAATACGAAGACATCTGCTGGCACAAGAAAGAAATAAAATGAATATCGTTGGGAATTTTCAAATAAATCCCAGCGCTCAAAATTACGGCTTTTACAAAAACTGTATTTTTCCTCAGCGACTGTACCCTTTCCCACAAGCTTCTCAGGGGAAAGAATCCAATGTGGTGCATCTTGAGTAGAAACCAAAAGTACAAATCTCAGGCCTATCTACTAGATACGAAATCCATCAGATTCAGAATAAAAGAGGGACTTTTTCAGCAATTCCACTCTACCAAGGAAAAGGAAAACGAGCATGAAAAAGGACGGTAGTTCTAAGAAAATTTTTTCTTCAGATTATCATAGCCACCAATAAGAAGAAAACACATATGCCACAAGAAAATTGATAAAAGTGAATAGAAAAAAAAACAGAAAGGAAAGGAAGAGAAGAGAAGAAAAACAAAGAACTACGTTAAGTGAAGATAGAGAAAAAAGAGTGGAAATATTCCCAAAGAATTTTTCAAAATTTCAGATCAGAAGTGGGGGCATATACTAATCGATAGTTGGAATATAACTCAATGGGCGAATAGGAAAGCCCGCATAAATCCTTTTTGGGTAGGGCACAAATTTCTCACTGATAAATATCGAATAAATTCCGCTCAACATTTTTAAAAAACGACTTTCAAACAAGAATTCTTTGGATGATCAAATAGAATTCTTCCTATCTGACCGCTTTTAGCGATTGGGAAGATACGGGCGGGACTCGAACCCGCACCTCACTTTATCCCGTGCGCGTGCTCTACCCCGCTGCACTATTGACGCTCGTTATACCATCGCTCTTTCTAATCTATATTTAGTTAGTACTCTTTACTTACCCGATGTTTTAGCAGCTGTATGATGCTGTGAATATATATATATCCAACAATGGAGTATGTGCGGAATTTTCGCATCAGCCGGGAATCAAACCCGCATTTCAGCCTTCCTGGGGGCGTGTGCTAGTCAAATGCACAGTAGAAACGCTCCTGTTCAGTTATCACACTGTCTGCGATACAAGGCATCGATCTGTCAGCAAACAACCTTCAATGGTTTGGTCTGGTAAGCTCATATCGGTTTCGAATCCACTTACGTTGATAGATGCTGGATACCGAATTTCCTTTAACTTCGGTATTATCAGCGTATTAGAAGCAAAGAACAAAATCAAAACGAAACAAAATCGGTTGTGAGAAAATTGTAAAAGAATCTATTATTGATCGATAATGCCGGGCGCAAAGGTCAAATTATCCATGCGCTTTGTGCTGATTTCTTTCACCACAAGGTTTACCAACAGTCAATACTAATCTCGTTAGAAAATGGAATCTAAACTTTGCTACCAACGAAACATCTGAAATGAAGAAATAGAAAAGAAAAAGAAAACGGAAAAAACCCGAGGGAAATACTAGTCAACATCAGGAAATAGTACCTTCGAAAACGCGGCGAATCGCTGCCTTTTGGTTCTTTCGTACGGCTTCTCGATATTGTAGATCAAGAGTCGTGAGACATGGAAATCAATAAGGGAAATATAACATAATGGGCCAGGAATAAAATGCACCCAAACCATTTGGGCGCCATATTTTTAACGGGGAACTACCCACTACTAAGTATCGAGTCAGGGTTCTTTTCTGTTATCCGAGACAAATGAGGAAACGATCCCTTCCGCTGGGACACGAGGAGTTTCCATAAGTATTGGTAATCATTTGAAATCATAAATATCTAGCCACTGCGCTACGCGTTGCCTTTTGAAAAGACAAATTTTTCAAATCGCTGTAACAGAAAGACGCCTCTTGTGTTTCACACACGCATGTCTCGCAGGGTACAACTGTTCCCTGAAGTTCTGAGTAATCATTCGATAGCGCAAGTTTCGACGATTGCAGCTCTGTGCTTAATTCCTGGGAAGACAGTTTCACTGCGGTGTAGCAGGGAAAATAAAATCGACTTTACATACGCGGCGCATTTGTCTTGTCGGCTAATGTGTGGGCTCGCCGTGGACCCGATACGGCGATCGACTGATCGCGCTGATGCGGACTCACATGTGGAATGTAGTTTTTGCCATTTAATTTGGAATTTTTTCTCCATTCTTGAACAACCTTCAGATAAAACAGATGACTCTTGTCATACAAGATTTTTTCTACACGTTCATATGTCTTTCATGATTCTGGCCATGTGAAAAGAAAATGCGCGGCCAGTGTATATCAAAATTTAATTTTGATGCTACAGACCTCATATGAGGGTCTTTTGAAAAAAGGAGCGCGTAGCGCAGTAGGCAGAGATTCAAGCTTCCAAATGATTACCATAACTCTTATGAGAAATTCTTGTATAGCGACGAAACCAATCGTTTTCTCTTTTGTCGCCGTTTGACAGATGGAAACACCCGAATTAATTCTGCATAATTTCTATTTCCTTGGGAGTCTAATTTACTTCAACTTTGGCATTACTGGCGATTTACTTCGAAGAAAAAAAACACGAGGAAACGATACTAGCTTGAAAAACCACATGAAAACCATTATTAATCGATAATGACGAGGCAAAAGGGCTAAATGCGATTACAGTTCAAGATAGAAAATGATAATTTTATGGCTCTATTCGGGTTAAAGCTAAAAGGATAAAGCTCTCGGCGTTGATCAATCCCTCAGGGATGCGCCATGCATTCGTCGCATGCATTCGTCTTCAATTTTCAACGTTGTTCGAGATGATTGAATGCATATCTGGCCTTTCCAATGACTCGCGGTGGGCTCCCGCTGAACCGAGTCAGTGCTGCTTATGCTCCCAGACAAGTCTAACATGCCTGGTACCAATTTACCGACGTCAGAGGGATGGATGGCTTGGTGAACCATGAGCGCGAGATCGAACCACTGACCTCCTATGCGACGCAGAGCACCTCTAAGCACTGCACCACATGCGCTCTCTATATTAGATTTTCTGAAAGATAAATCTGAAAATTTATTCAGGTATGAGGGACAAATGAAAAACCGACCTTACTCGCTGGTGAGGAACTTTTCACAGGAGTGTTAGTGACCATTCGAAAGCTTCAGGCTACAGCCCACGTCGTTGCCGGCTTTCAAAAAAGCCTTTTTCTGACCTTGCTACAGAAGTAAATTTCCTGCTAGTTTTGCGTGGATTTTAGAGCGTAACAAAAGGGTGTTTTGAAAAACCACCGACGTGGGGCTGTAGCCTGAAGTCTCAGCTTTCGAATGGTCACTAACACTCCTATGAAAATTTCCTCGCCAGCGAATGAGATCGGTTTTTCACTTGCTCCTTCTTATTCAAATAAAACTAATATTATTTTTGCTGATTTCTTCGAGCACATAGTGAGCCAACGCTCAGCGTTAGTAAAATGTTATGATCTCTCTAGTAAACAGGAACTTGACCTTACTCAGCGACTCACCAGAATTATGGGAAAAACGGAAAAAAAGAGAAAAGAAAAAAAACAGGACGAAACAATCCGAGTCAAAAGAAAAAATTTAAAAGAAAAGTTATTGATCGATCAAGCCGAGGTCAAAGGTCAAAATATTATTAAGATTTCTTCTTGTTAATAATGATGCTATTTTTGCTTAATTTCCTTCGCCACATTGTAGAGGCAACAATCAACTTATGATGTCGTTAGTAGATTAGGAAATGACACTTGCTAGCAGCAACTCATGAGAGGGAAAAAAGAAAGAAAAAGAGAGAAAATTGGAAAAGAAAAAAAGAAAAAGAAAGAAAACGGAAAAAGAAGAGAGAAAAAGAAAAAAAATTAAGAAGAAAAACAAAAGGAAATGATACCACCCAGAGGGTAAGCAAGGACTTTCGAAGACGCGGCGGTTCCACGGCGTCCGTCTTTCCCGCGCGTGATTTTTACGTAATTTGGTATGTAGTCGGTATAAAATCGTAATTTGGAATGTTGTCGGTCTAAAAGCCCGATAGCGCCGCCACGTCGATGACTTGACCTCTCGATTAGAGCAGCCAGTAAACTGCAATGCAGGCAGGAAATCCCTTATAAAGACAGGGGTGGCGCAGTGGCTAGTGATACAGTTTGTCGAAAGCAAGACCGTGGTTCAATCCGCCTCGCTCACCAATGTCTTGCAGTCAATCAGCGGGAACGCCTTGGTTCGCCTTAGTCCAGGATCGTGAGACAGCCGCCTTGACCAGCATTCGTACGACATCGTGAACAAGACGAAATCCCCAAGCAGCAGCCGAAAGCATCTATGAAATATCCTCGACCTTCGTCATGGTTGAATGCGAGGAAACTAATCGAATCGCTGAAGCCCTGAGATCCTCATGGTAGATTGCGCTAAAGACTCGTGTAAATTATAAAAGAATAAAGTATTTAGCTCCTCCCAAATGGTTAACCTCTTCGTCGTTTCTGGGAGGTGTTCCTGAGTGTCGGACTGCGAAGTGCACCGGGAGGTTCAATCCCCAGCCCCAGCAGGGCCACCCAAGCCGAGGAAGAAGTCCGACATTTCCACTCGGAAAACGCAGCTAAGAGTAGACTGGATCACGAATGACTGCAAGGTGGTAATCTCCCTCTGATCCACAGGGCAGGCGAGTGCTCAAATTCGGTGACGACCTGAGGAAACCCCGGCTACGCTTGCCTCGGAACTCTGGATAAAATCCATAACCTGGGGTTTGCACAATTCGTGAAGACGCACCGTCCAATTATCCAAGTGAGTAATTCATTTAGTTCCTTGAAAATTGAGATTTCTCATCTTGTAAAGCTAATGTCGCTGAGAAGGACATCTACTTTTTACCCGACCAAACCTGTTATGAGTTGGAGGCTGGTCGCTATGATAGAGATATTGAAGACTAAATGGAGGCAAAACGGCGCCTCGGTAGTGTAGTGGTAGCACGAGCCTCCGTTATGGGTGAAACGCTGGTTCAAATCCCGTTTCAGTTTTGCTCACCATTCAATTCTCTTAGGTTTATCTAGGACAATAGGACATAGTCTCTTATAAAGTGCACTCAGTAATAATGAAAGATCCCTTGAAATGTCGATGAAGCGGTATCGTATTGCAGTAACCGGTAACATTTTTGACGAACAATTCATTGTTTTGTGATTTTTTTCGAAGCGTTTCAATCAAAATAGTCTCACTAAAGTCTCCTCTATCATATTTTGCCAATTACTAGTGATGAATTCTTCTCGAGTGATGGTAAGTATTCAGATTTTCCTAGAAAACTACCGCTTCGTCACTGAAATGCGCTGCGCTCGCCGTGCGTAAAAATCAATGTGGAACTCAACGGTTTAAGACTTCTTACGATAACGTTCGCCCAATGTGTCGCCCTCGGAGACGGGTGTAATTTTTCGTGGAGTCTGTCTCTACAATTCGTTTCGTCCACCTGTTGTCTAATCTTCTCACTATGTGATCGGCCCAGCTGTGTTTCGTTATCGATGTATATTTTTCTGTATCACGGAGATCACGTAAGTTTCGGTAATCTAAGCTGCACAAGCAAACTAGGCTATGAATGCTGACTGAATTGCAGAAGACATCGTGGCAAGCGCTCTTTGAGTATTCGCAATAGTCTTGACGTGGATGAAGTATCAGCCCACGTTCGTGCTCGGACCTACCAATTTATGGGTACTGTAATCTTGTACAGAAGTGTAGAGATGAGCGAGCCACTACCTCTACGTTATCGCATAACAATCACACCGATACATAAATGTCCTAGGATTTCTTGCTGATCCTGAGACCGAATTTCGATTATGTCTGCGGATTTTTCATAGGTGGTTTATACGACTCAGACCAATCGCGGTGACGGAATTGCTATTAGCAACCGATACGGTTAGAACATGGCTGAGGGAAAAGCGGAGCGAGGGCCTCAATGGTGTAGTGCGAACGCAAGCTAAACGATTACCGTTCCCGTTGCACATGATTCCAAGTTTTGCTCGTTTTTTAACATTCTTATGGTTAAACTGAAAGTGTTCAACGAGCATGTCAGCGATTTACTAGCGGAGTGACAAAGATTGAAAACGGACTATTAAGAAGAGGTCATAGTTTTGGATGTTACAAATGAAGCTCCACCCCCCCCGCCCAACACTCCAGCAGTCAACAACAACACCCTATGGAACGCCACATCCAGGTATCTTCGAGATTGCAAGGAGACTTGCTCAGTCAGTCTACTGGGATCCGTACAGTGAAAAAAAATTACGGTGAAGATGGATTAAAAAAGTGTACGAACTATTTGTCGTGAAGTAGTAATGCAGTGTGGTATCGACACCGTTTGGCTGTGCATGATCTCACCTTCCAGGCCGTTTATTTATCAAGATCAAAGTAGTCGGTATTAAACTTTCTCTTAAGTAGCCCCCTCCTATCTACAAGACCGAGGAAATTCCAAGCATGTATCTACAGGATTCCACATGAAATCGACTCGACTAGCGTTCAACGACTTTCATGAAGATATAAGGAATTTTCACTAAGAAGCCTCAACTACTACATGCAATCTCAAAATCCCTTGTGGAGATGGGTGCAAAAAAAAAAAACCAGTGGAGTGAATGAGATGATGAGATATGCACAACATGCAGTATTGGGTCGTATAAAATAGGAATAATCATATATTTACAAGTGAACCTGTTCGACGCACTTAATAGTCAATATTGCATTTTCATAGAAATGAAATTAGAGATAAATTCTAGAAAATCATCTAAGAACCTGAGATTTCAACTCATAGCAGTTCTATAATAAAAGATGTTCAATAATGGGCTCGTTCCTGGATATTCAAATGTTCGTGATTTATTAGAATCTAACGGAAATGCGTTTATCGAAGAACATGAAATGATTTACAAATGCTTCGCAACTCTATTGTTGCTCTGCGAGCGTTTTTTACGATGCTCTCATTACTTTTCGCCTGTTTTGTTGATGGAAGTGAAGAATTTGGACGAGTTTCTTCGTCGAATATCATCATCGATGATGCCGACGGTACTCGCATATGTCCATACCATCCAATGACCATCAGAGCTACCATGATTTTCTGGAACGTTTCAGTTTTTCGAGTGGTGAAACGAAGATTAAACGCCAACTTCATAGAGAATTGTGCTTAGTGCTTAGAAGCGAACAAATTAGAAACATCCGCAAAAGACCATTTTAATATGCCTAATAGTTATTTTTAAGCCACGTTATGGGCATTTCAAAAGTGCAATACGCATGTTTCGGCCTTGCCGCTTCGTCAGTTGCACAGTGCCTTTCGTCTGAGCTAATTCCTCTTAGGGTAAAAAACCCCTTACATAGAGGAACAGCAGACGTAATATTTACACGCGTCGTTAAGTGATGGCTTAAAAATATTCATCAAGCATATTAAAATTTGAGCGCGAGCCCCCGGAAACATGAGAAATGAATGCCATGATGTTTTACGACTACCAGCCAGGAGCAATCGAGTGTACAACACTGTCCGTTTAGTGATTTTTATCACTCAACGGCATATGTAAATATTACGCTGCTTCTTCTATATAAAAGAGTTCTTCCCCAAAAGGAAATGAGAAAGATTGGCTTGGACGAAAGGCACCGTGCAGTAGACGAGGCCGCAACGCCAAAGCACGTAATTGCACTGTATAAGTGCCCATAACAGACCACATGCATGGCTCAAAAATAATTATTAAGCATATTGAAATTCAAGCGTGGTTCAAAGAAATACTCGAAACGAAAGAAGGCCATTTATTATCATACATATGACGGAATAGTTATCTACCTAGGACTGAGCAATTCCGGGAAATTTTTGAAAGTTTTGTTATTATGCTCAAATTATCACCCAAAACAATAGCAACTATTCTAAAAGTCTGGACCACCATCGTGTACGACTTTTTGCCATTGCTCTACAACATTCTGGATTTGTTCGAAGTAGCATTCCGGCTCCTCTGACCAAAGAACTCTTAACATGCTTCTTCAGCTTCATCAAATAATTCAAACCAACGGCCACTCCAAAAGCGTTGCATTGGTGGAAAGAGGGCGCAAGTGGATGGAACAACATTGCAACTGTAGGCGGGGTGCGGAAGGATTTCGACTTCGTTCAGCCTTTCATACTTGTCCTATCATCTTGGGCGTATGCGGTTTAGAATTTTCCTGTTAGAACAAAGCGCATTTTCGTTGGACCAATCTTGGATACTTTTCCACCAATTTGTCATAGACGCTATTTAACTACTGGCATTGGAGCTCGGCATTGATGTCACGAATTTTTTCTCCAATAATGACGGATCAACACACGCCAATTATGCTTTTCAATGGACATTTTGGAGTTTAAATTAATGAACTAAATAGCTTTGTACAAAACTATTAATAAAAACGACACGAAGTTGTTAAAAATGAAACTATAAAAACTCCCCACAACTTTGCTAAACCTAATAATTTGATCCCGTAGTGCATTAGCGCGAATTCTCCTTTTTATGCCTCTGCATTAGTGACTCTAATTTTTTATCGCTCTACAGTTCAACGTCTTGATGAATATTTTTTGATCTTGTAGAGGTTATCGAAGAATCTTTGAAATTTTTTTTTCTCCTCATTGAATTCTTGAGATTGCATAAGATGTCGGTAGCTTTTGCGAAGCATTTCGCTTTCGTATTCCAAAGCTAAATATGAAACCCGCAATTTTGTGGATTAATTTCGTGCAAAATCTTAGTTTAACTAACCATGAGTAGAAAACAAATGCAGATGGTCATGAAGGATGAATTGTCATCGATCATAAGGTTCGATGTCTGAAAATGCAATTACAAATCAACCGCACTGTATACATATATTAACGAAATTATCTAAACATACCAGATCTGCCGGAGCAAACATAGGAGAAACTGGGTGGCTACTGTGATCAAGAAATTATAGTAAAGCGATTGGCGAGAAAGAATGGGAAGGTACTTATGTGTCATCAAACAAACATTTTTGAAGAAATCTTTGGACATAGATTTTATTTCACTATTAGTAACAATTGAAGGGCTTACGTTTCCAAAATATACTTGTTTTTTGAAGAGATATTCGTAAAGCGCTGTAACATCAAAAATAGAATTCTGTTTCACACCCGCTGCGCGTCATAACGCCTGTATCTCGTTGGATAGAGTACTTTCCCTAATCTTATACCAACCGTTAGGTGACGTAGATCGCAGAAATTGCAGAAGTGTATTTGCTTTCTCAAAAGGCCTTCTTACAGCGGTGGAGCGGGCAAAATAAAGTTGTGTTTCACTTACGTTGCGCGATATCCTGCGTAATTTACGCAGAATCGAGCTTTTCCCTCAGCATATTAGTAATCATTCAATAGCATAGATCTCGGGAATTCCAAAATTGTACTTGGTTTATAGAAAGGCTTTGTTAGTGCACTGTAACAGGGAAAATTCGTATTACGTTATTTATTTGAAATTTTTCTCATCTCCTAGAGATTGTTATGTTTTCTGTATTGGAATAGTGGAAGACTTTGTTCTATCGCTTTGTAGGCTTATGCTTACCTTTTTCATTTTATTTTGTCGAATAAACCCGCTAATAGCCTAAGCCTGAGCTACACAAGCCTGTGCACGAAAGGAAAGCAAATGAACATGAGGAGGAAATCATGAATTATTAGTAGTGAACATTTTTTCCACAGTTTTTCTTGGAACGAATGAGAAAACCGCAAATTGATTAGCAATAATCACTTGCCACATGTGAGTTGCGTTGTACGATTAATCGATCGCGTTATCGATCCACAAACACTCACACACTCTAGTCGACAAGCAATGCGCGGCCTATTTCAAGTTCAGTCTCATTTTCCCTACTACAATGCTGTAAAACATCTGAACAAAAGCCAACCACACTGTCGATCGCCAAAGTTTACGCTATCGAATGACCAGTAATAGTCTATGGAGCAGAGCTTTGCACTGCAAGAAATACGAGCGCGTAAAACATGAAACTTTTTTTTTGCTACAGCACTGTAAGAAAGTCTTTTTAGCAACACA